AGCCGTACTCCCAGACGCGGTCAAGGAGGCGGCGATGCCAAGGCGAAAGATGGAAAAGGAGCTGGCTCTGGAAAGTATGGGCCCTCGCAGGACGAGTCCGCGGAGGCCAAGAAACCCCCTGGCTAGGCCCGCCTAGTAGCCTCGGTGTGCTAGGTGGGCCTTTTGGCTCTTGTCATTCCGTAATGGACGAGAATGACTATGTCGGGCCCTGGTGGGCTGACATCCTGGCTGCCAACCTGCAGCTGGAAGTGGAGCTCTCAGATGTCAGCTATGGTCTGGACATGCCCTTCGCTGACGACCCACGTATCACTGCCGTGGTCTACAAGGACGCTCATGGGATTGAGCATCTGAAGACTGGATGCTACGCGGGTCCTGATCTCGATGGGCAGGATGAGTTTGACGAGGGGGAGCAAATCTTCCGGTGTCTCACAGTGTGCATGGGTCGACCTGTGATTGATACTGATGTGGTTTGCTCTTCTTTGAATTACTCGTCTTCCCCACGGGGTCAGCGACACCCATCATGTCGGCTTGATGTGAGTGAACTGCCTTGTACAGTTGTACAGTCAGGTTCGGTAGGCCGTCTGCACAGGAGCCCTCACCCGATCCAGCTGCACCTTTCCTTTGGTGATGCGAGCACTGCCTGCTTAAACCTTCTCCTCCGCCAGCTCTCGACCGGGGTTGGACCCATCCCGCCCACTCCAACCGCAGGCGGCCGCAGGCCTGTCATCCTTGATGCCCTGTCGCAGTGTGTGCGGCCTGTTGCCTGCACCGCACTTTGCCCTCATGCTGCTCAGCCCTCACCCGCCCTATGTGAGGGCACTGTGCGCCCTGCCGCTGGCACGAGCCGACCTGCCACCTCGGGCCTTACTGACCTGCGACTCCGGCTCTCAGCACAGGTCAGCCTATACCCGGCGGAGCTTGACCGCCCCGAACTTCGCGAGATGCAGGTCTCTCAATTCTGGTGGTTCTCCGGGTATAGAGTTAGTGGGGGTACTTGTGAGACGCCTCAGCAGGACCGCTTTGCATTGTTCACTACATCGGCGCACGTTGAGGTCCGCCAGATGCGCCGAGGGATGACGTTGGGGGCTTTGGTTGCTGAGGTTTATAGCCTAGTCCCTGGCCTACGTAGCCTGCGGGTCCTTCTTGAGCGTATGGCCGGGTTCCCGGCGGTGCAATTGGTGGCAACGACTAGGGAGGCATCGGAACAGGCTCATGCCACGCCCATAGACCTTAGATCAGTGGGCGGACGGGTGTGCACCCTGAACCTGCTAGCTGGCAGCACTGCCAACGAGGTCTCACTGGAGGTGATGAACGCATGCCCAGAGCATCGCCGGCCACAGGGGCCCTTCCGTCTGCATCTGCCGGACGGCCGCAATTTTGTGGCGGTCCCTTACCAAGTTCTTGGACCTGATTTTATACAGGGACGTGCCCCGCTGGCTGTGGTGCCGCATGCGCCTGGTGTAAGAGCTGAGGTTACTGAGGATGACGACACAGCACTCATGCAAACCAGCCTCTCTGTGAGTCTGCCCCATGTGCAGCATAAAGCCCCCAATAAGACACTTGTGCCGCGCGTCGCTCCCAGCCAGCAGCCTTTCGACGCAGCAAGGTGTCAGGCCGACTATGTCCGCGACGCAGACCGACAGGTCTCAGCACCGTCTGAAGTGTGGGGAAATGACTCCTGCCTGGTTGCTTTTCCTGCCGGGGATCCACCCACCCTTTTGAGGACGGAGGGCCCTCCACGGGCCAGCGTTGTACATTCCACCACCAAGGTGCCGACAATACTTCCCGAGAGACTTGCTGCCCCGAACCTACGAGAAATCCCGGCGGGGCAGCTATGCCTTTTCTGTCAAGCCCCTGCGCACCACAATGAGCTCCGGCGATATAGTGTCTTCGACAGGAATAGTCACCATGCTGTTCGGAAGGCCTCTGTTCACTGGTCCCTCCTGGACTACATCGTTGATGCGGCCAGCTCAGCAAGTGAAGAGACTCAGAGTGTGCAGGTCCTGACTCTGCCCATTGCTGACCTCCCTGAGCCCCAGCTCACGATTACTCCGATTGGCCTACCCCCGGGGGTCCTTGTGCTCCCTCTTGATGCTCGTTCTATTGGTGGGCCACTGTGTGCGCTACCCTTATCGCCGGGCTTAGACTTTCAGAGGGTCCTCGAGGCTCTGGCCAAGGCTGCGCCGTCCACTGCGCAGCTTCTTGAGCAGGCTTTGCAACTTGACGGTGTGTTCCTGCAGGACCCCACTGGCCGGATATGGGAGACACTGCCCATGGATCTCAGTGAAGTGCAATGGCTCAAAGCGGTCCTGGAACCGCGACGGCAACAACAGCTTGGGTGGCTTGTGACTCTTGGCAGACCTACCACACTGACCAGCACCGCGGTGATCACCACAACAAGCCTCCAACCCCACGGAGACCGTCTCCTTTGTCCTGGCAGGTGGTGGCACTGTTATCCGGCTGGCCCCGCAGCCCATCCGACTGGCCAGTGTGCGGCAGTCCCTTTGCGAGCTCCTTTTCATATTGGGGTTGCAGGGCCGGGTGCCACATCGACCTGTTGTGTCGCTTGCCTCTGCCGCGCCGCGGCAAGCTGCACAGCCTGCTAACCGGATTGTAATATT